AGGGAAGCCAATCAGTTGTTTGGAGAATTGAAGACAAGTTTGAGAAGTTCATCAGCTGGGAAGAGATTTCAGGAGAATGGGGATTTGTGTGAGCAGACAAAACCACTAGGAAGAAAAGGTAAGGAGAAGGTAGAGGAAGTAAAATCAGAGCTAGGAAGGCAGGTGTGTGGAATTTGTCTTTCTGAAGAGGACAAAAGAAGATTCAGGGGAACACTGGACTGCTGCAGTCACTATTTCTGTTTCACTTGCATCATGGAGTGGTCAAAAGTAGAATCCCGTTGCCCTTTGTGCAAGCAAAGATTTAGAACAATAACCAAGAATGGAAGATCAATAGTGGGAGTTGATCTGAGAAATATGGTGATACAAGTTCCCAAGCGTGATCAGGTCGTCTTCTGTCTTATTGCTTTGTGCATATTATTTCCCTTGTTCTTTGATTTTTGCTTATTCTGTGTTTTGGTTTGGGTTATTTTGTTGTACAGGTCTATCAACCAACCGAGGAAGAAATCAGGAGCTACATTGATCCATATGAGAATGTGATATGTAAAGAATGCCATGAAGGCGGGGATGATGGCCTCATGCTACTATGTGATCTCTGTGATTCATCTGCACATACCTATTGTGTTGGTTTGGGGCGGCAAGTACCTGAAGGCAATTGGTACTGTGATGATTGTAGACCTGTTGCTCTTGGATCCTCAAGTTCCCAAACTCAAGATTCCTTGCCTGATCAATGGAATATAAGCAGCAACATATTTAATAGACCATCGCTCATGTTGAATTTAGAAGAAGGTTTAGATCCCAATCTAGAGTCTTCACCTCGACTGACAGTCCCACAAGCATTTGGGAGTCTGTCATCTCCGAGATTTCTAACTGGAGATAATCATGTAGCTTCTCCAGTGTCTGGAGCAGGGGCATCAACTCTCTCTGGGAGACGTCATATACACCGTAATATACGGATTCTCCTTTCAAATATGAATCCCTTAACAAATCCCATGGCAAATAGAATTGATGTCATCTCAGCTGCCAGCTTGCGTAGTGATCTTTCAAACTCGCAAATTGATCTGGGTAGGGAAACAGCTCTTCAAAATTTAAGGACACAAGAAGTTGACAAATTAGAACAGACACATCACGAGGAGAGATTGCAGACTAATGACCATCAGCCGTCTTCATTTCAAAATAGGGATTCTTTTTATCTGACACCAAACCAATTGACAAGGCAAATAGTTCAGGATCCAACTATTCCAACTGCTGACAGACCCGTCAATTTGACATTATGGCCTGAACTCATGGGGATCAACTCAATGCCTGGTTATGAACAACTGCATGAGTTTGACAGCAGAGCAATGACGAGGCATGGTGGTACTTTGTCCTCGTACCAAGTTAGAGGAGAAAGCCAATTCTATGATGTGAAGGAAAAATTGCAATCAATGGTCAAAAGCCATTTGGGAAGCTTGTCACATGATACTGAATTAGGTACGTGAAGTGTTATTGTCACCTAAGTAGTTTTTACTGATTCAGTATTCTGGTTGTTGAGACCCTGGGGAGACAGGAAGTTGATGGAGAAACAGGCTTCCTGTTCTGGGATGCCAAATCCCTGTGATGTACTCAGGACTTGACAATATTCATCTTCACACATGAAATTTTGTTTAGATGTCCTTTTTTCAGGCAGCGTTGAAATGCTTGAGAATTCGTAGAATTTCTGTTTGTTGGCTAGATGCATGGCGGTTAAGTTGAAATAATTGCTTTCAACCATGCAATTGAAATGCTTAAAATTGGCTTATTTCTTCCATTGCAGACCATGATACTTTCAAGGATATATCAAGGAGTTCTACACATACCATATTAGCTGCTTGTGGGCTAGAGCACAAGAGGAGTGAAGTTCATACAGTGCCCCCACCATCAAGTTGTATACATATCGATAGAGTGGTCGCTGGGCAGACAAGCCCGATGAAAGGTTGTTGCTCTTCTTGTTTTGACTCTTTTGTAAGGGACGTAGTGAAAAGGATCATGGACAAGAGACCACGACAGTGGTTGACTTTAGGTCTTTAGGGTTTGATGCAGGGAGAATCTATTTCCTCTCTTTTTTGTTAGAGTTGGACAGACATTTATGTTAACTTGTTTATAGGCATAATTAACTAACACTGAGCACACAAAAGCTCCATTCTTATTTGATCATGATACTCACTATTTAGACCGACTAAATCATCCTGTTGTTGCTATTTGTTACCAATTCCATTTTCTTTCCAGGCTTAAAGTTTATTTTGGTGTCTCTATCCCTATCGGTTTCTGCTCAACCTCTTGCTCATTTTAACATTCATTAAAGTCAAGTTGATGCCAAGGCTGGCGCTCAACTGTCACTACGAATAGTGTAAAAAGCAACTGGAGAAGAAAGAGTAAACAAGATTAAAAGGGGAAAAGGAGAAGGGTCCGGATTTTTTTTTTGAGTGGATTATGTCTTTTGTAAGTGATGAGAAACTGACCCAAAATATAAATGGATACATCATTAAGCCCTCCTTGAACCTTGAAACAAAGCATCTCCCAAATTTTCAATCTTTTTTCTCTAAGAACAACATGAATCATCTTCTTATAAGATCAAACCTAAAACTTTACCATCAAAGTTATGGCTTTTCCTTTGTTTTTAGCTCTTTTTTCTTTTCCACAAACACCATCAGAGTCCTGAAAGACTCTCTATGCCAAGACTCTATGTTATAGGATCACAAACTTCATTAATCTAGTTGTATAGAAATGGCTTCAGGGATCGAAGAGTAGCGATCTGGGCAGTCTGGCCTCCAATAACTTATCAAGCTATTGCATAAACAAAATCACTTTAGCCATGTTCTTGATGTTTTTCTCTTTGGTCTTTATACATTTACAGGCTAATCAAGATTCAATTCTTTTAAGAAGTCTTTAGAGAGATTTTTTTTTAACATAAGATACACTATGAAAATCTTTTCTTTTTATATTCTGATGTTGATGATAAGTATAAACTATAAGAACTTAGGAGGTTTCTATTATTTAGGCTATCTACATATGATACGTTTATCAACGAAATCAGATGACTTTTATGGTGCTAAAAAAGCTTGGGAGGAGTAGTTATTAATGAAGACATTCTTTGACATTCGAGTCTCAGATGCAATGATCACAGGTTATTCGAAAAAGAATCTCTTGAAAAAGGTTGAGGTATTTGTAAAAAATATTATAGAGTGACCTGAAGCTTGATGCAGACTCATTTGATCATTTAGCAATTGGATATCATGTTGGTGATCAGATGATGAATAATAGATATAGTAAAGAAGTTAAATTCAATCAGTAAATCAGAATAAAAACTAAGAACTAATGCTTTAGTTGTAAGGATTGAGGGTCTAAGAGGTTAGAGAAATGTGAAAGTAGCAAAATAACTTTTCAAGTTAGTTATAGAACATTGTCATTTCCAACCAGCTATGAATAATAAATTAAAGATATAATTGTATTGAATATGAAAACTTGAGCACCAGAACATATGATTGAATAGAAGGTGATGATTAGTCTTACTAGATAAACACCTAAAATCATCAATGTGGTTAAGCCGGTTACATGATTGTTGTTAAATCGTTGAGAACTCCTAGAAAATGGTCTAAGTTAGGGTTAATGGATCAATTCATGAATCATCAAGTCATTCTAAATCAATAATTTTATGAAAATAATGTTATTTTGAGTTTTTTTTTTAATTTTTGGTGTTAACTCAGTTGAGTTTAAATTAAGATTTGATCAATTTAATTAAATCATTAAAAACTTGATTAAATAAAATAGATTTTACTGAATTAATATTTTTTTTGGTTTAACTTAAAATTCAATATCCAGCTCCTAATACCATTTCAACCCATCAAAAACCAGATTAGATTTAAAATTATGTTTTACATTGTTACACAATGCACACTAGCTGAATACTTTATTAAATCTTTGTTTTTCCATTTGTGGCCTAAATGTATGCTCCTTTTCCCCTTCTTTACACTAAAATGTTAAACTTAAAAGAATCGGGCATTTCAGAATGAAAGTGACATAATAGTAGAAGCAAATCAGCTGCTTCATGCAGGTTAGTCATGATCTGGTATTGGTTGAGCTCAAAAACTTGATTTCAACCATTGGTGCCTCTAGTGCCTTGAAGAATCTAGTTGGCGCAGGTATATGCACTTGTTTCGTTCAAAGTCTCTCTATCACTTGCAAAAGACAAAATATCAGTTGGGTTAGTTGCTTTAGTTATAAAACTCGAATTGGTAAATGGATTCCAAGTAAAGTGTCTTGAATAAGTCAAATCAATTTTCCTTTTTTCTTTTTTGAAAAAAAATCAACATGTTGTTGACTGGGATTAACCTAGATTTCAGTTCAATTTATATTTTTAATCAAATCACGTCGAGTTAAATTCTCTTAATTTTTTGTGAAACCCGAATGAATCCAAGCCTTAAGTTGATGATTTTTAGGTAATCCGTCAGGCTGATGCCAGTTTAATAACCAAGGACCAAACTATCTGACACCTGCCGGTTTGAGGAATCTTTTTGTTTCTTTCTATAATGCTCGAGCTTCCAGGTCAACATTATCAGCAGAAAAGAAAGCAGCCTCATAAATCAAAATTAATATAAAACACACAAATCTTTATAACTTCAATGACTTTGAGAATGCCTTTCGTAGAAAGAGGCTGCTTGTTGATCTAGTAGACACCACTGCTAAAACATGGAACCAGCCCCGACAATATACACCACCACTTCGTGTGGCCATCAAAACAAATGTTGCCAGCAAACAGTCATTCAAGTCCTTGCATTGCAAGTTGTGGACACCTCACAGCATGCAACAAATGGCTGGGATAAATATGTTTTATGCTGAATGATTTCTTGAAGCTAACTAGGTTGACAGGAGATACCTTTAAAGAGCAGGTATGCGTTTTTGTTCATCACAGTACTTTGTAATTTCAAAGAACTACAAGAAAGTTATTACACAGAGATCCATTAGCAAGCAGCAAAGAAGAGAACTATTAGAAAGAACTTTTTTTTTTCTTTACCATTTAATCATGAACTGCAAGTAAAAGTCTCTCTCCAGCAACTAAAGTTCACAAGCAACATAACTTACTTTCATTCCTACATTTTTATTCAACACTCTGCGTTTGATACATTCCCATTTTCACTACAAACAAAGCATAGATTGCAGGGCTCTTGGTTGTAAATCTGGCATTCAGTACTGTAGCAGCCGGGCGTGAATCCACTTCTATAAAATATCATCGAGAATTGTAGACAACAACAGCCCGTGTACAAACTCACTCCTTTTGGCCTTCTCTTCCTTGTCCTTAATTGACATGGGAGGTGACTTCTTGTTTCTGCTACCAATACAAAAATACAGTACACGGATGAGAAAAGCAAACATGATTCTGCATACATACACATAAATGTTCCAACACTCAATGCAGGACTATATTTCAATGACTGCAGACAGGAATGGGTTCCAATTAGAGTTTAGAAAGGGGTTAGAAACTAAGAGTGGCCTTATTATTCAAGCACTGGATGCAAGTAGAAAGTAGGACCACATTATTGGATCGCATAATTCCCAGAAGTCAGACACTAAGAAGAAAAAACTCAATCCTTGAAACTAGAATTTGGTGAAAGCCATATAATTCAGATGATCAAGCTGCATCCACCCACAGTGCTCATGATCTGGAGTACTTAGGCTCAACTTAGATTTGGCAAAAATGGCTAATTAATTAATGTTTTCTCAAGCTCTGTAAAGTTAAAACGCTTTAGGTTGCTATTGGTAAGTGTGATGTAGAAGTACGCTAGGCAAAAAATTTAGTTCTAGATAGAGCAAAGATTTTGGTTTATCAACATAAATCAATGATGATTCCAGAAAGTATTCAAACTATGACATCCCGTCCCTTTGATCCTATCTTCTCTGGGAATTTCATTAAAACATCAAGGTGATTGACCAAATGATCGTCTGCAATTCAAACCGTAATGTTCTCTATTTCAGCAAATGTCTAAATAATCATACTTTATGATCAAACATGGATGCTCTTGGTGCAAAAAAGGAAGAAAATTACAATTACAATTTTATAGCATGGATCACAGAAAGAACCAAAATGCATGTGTGCCCCAGGATAGATAGTTTACTGTGTCTGGGCTAGGTGAGTGTAGGGCAATATTAATATGAGCAATTTCTGAGGTTCTGATCTTTAATGTCAACAACAATGTCAGGTATCTGTGACATTGTCCAGCAGGGAATCACGAAGTAAAATATTGGCACACCTCGCAGTAATTTATTATCAACTGGTTAGAAATCTGCAAGTTGAATGTTACAAAGATACTGCCATACAAAATTCCCTGGTCGTTATCTAGTAAAAAGGCAAGTGCGTCTAAGATGCCCTTTAAGTTATATTAGGAAATTACCACAGCACTTATTATTTTCTGTGATAGTACAAGGAATAAATAGCTATCATGTGAGAGATTTAGAGTACATAAAAAAGAATCTACTGCATGAATTAAGTACAGCCCAACATAGAGAGAACAACAGAAAAACATACCGTTCTGAAACATTCCCAACCGAGCTTTTCTTGGCCAGACTTGTTTCAGACAAAAAAGAAGGCTGAGAACTTGTGAGATCATCAGCCATGGGTAGAATGAATGAAGACAATAACGGATCAGGTGTGGAATTGGACGAGGAAACTATACAGGAAGAACCACCTAAAAGGGACTGTAGATTCCCTTCTCTCAACTCTTTCCTCAATAAAGAAAGGGTTGAATGAGGTCCACCTCTGCGTGATTTCCTCTTGCGCTGCATGTAAACACCTATTAAGGAACTCAAAACAAAAGCAAGATGGTCTTGGTGCAAAAAATAAGTACATGAAACACAATAAATACTTGATGGAATTGAATCAACAAAAAATAAAATAAAAAACTATGTCTAGCTTTAGACCAAAAACATAAGAAAGCAATCTAAACATTCCCATGATAAAAGCAATCAATAAGTCAAAATAGGTTTTGCACACAAACACCCTCATGATCACCAAAGGGGAAAAATATCATTAGCAATTGCTCACTTTGACATATTTGTGACAGGACATGGAAATGCTACTTTTGAAGCTATTAATAACTCAAAAGAAAAGGATATCTTGAATATATTTCCATGTTGTAGTGTTATATGCGCAACCATGTCAACACTCACCCTCATTGCACAAATTGGGCAAACCTGTAAATAAACACATTCCATCATGAGCAGAATTAACATTCAACAAGATCTCATCATTAGAACCCAAAACAAAAAATCTCAAGTCAAAAAATGTAGTAACTTAATATGATGATAGCAAATGAACTCTTATGTCTATAAAAGAAAGTTAGCGCGGCACCCTATTGAATCCTTTTACAACACTATACACGATTACCTGACACTGTTGGACATTAATTTCATGGACTGGTGAATCATATATATATATATATATATATATGTAGCAGTCTGTTGTGGGTAGTAACCCTCATTCCTGTTCTCAAAAGTAAGGTTTGCTTGAATGGAAGAATACTTGAGTCAGTAAAGTCAAAGCTCCCATCTCATAATTACCATTGATGTCCATGTCTGAGAACTCCAAACATAAATAAAACTGAAGGAAGAAGCCGTATTGAGCATGGCATGGACATATATTTGAGACCAGCTCAACTATACAAAAACTTAAATATGCACATACCTGATAAGCACTTTTAGCACTCAGGCACACCCAGTAGATACAATTAACATAGCTCATTCAAGATGGGCTAAGCTGGTACCCAATTGGCTGTCACTGATTTGAGCATGACAGTCGAACAATTTATTCTAAACAGTAGGATCTCAATTCCCATGCTTTGAGTCATAAACAAGAAGTACCATTGTACAGCATGTATGACTAGAGAAGAAATCTTATAGACGGAATAAATGATATTTTGAATTCTATGGATGCATGCAAATCAGCTATTAACATGTATGAAGGAGATAGTAAATACCCCATTCTTGGATTCCATGGTATGCTCATCATCAATGTGACAACACAACCCAACAATATCAAAATAATCAGAACAGAAAGGGCACGGAAACTCCTCCCTTATATCATCATCTCCATCAATTTCTTCAAACCCCATAAACATATCTGCATTCACAAACATTTAACAGTTAGTTGAAGTTTTAAGAGAAAACATTCTTAGTCCATTACCTTCAGAAACATTGTGTCTCCATTTTATAATAGTATAATTCAAATCAAGTGTCAAGATTCATGATTCTCAAGAAGTCAATCACTCTATTGGCTACAAGGAGCACTTCCCTTACAAACTCCCTATAGAGAATACTTGTTACCTCAGTATGAGAATTTATTTTCCAGCTCGCTGAACCTAAATAACAACACTCATCTCTTAACACTCTGTTCACTCAACTAAAAATAATATTTTCACAAAGAGACAATGTTTTTTTTTCTCTGTATAAAAAATGACGAACCTTTGAGTTTCAACTTTCGAGTAACAGCCATACCAAGCCGAATGAAGTCGATGTAATTTCCCTTTCGGGGTTAAAACAAACTCATAATGAAAATCCTTAACATCCCAAATCCCAATTTTCTCATATTTCCTCATTTTCCCATCAACCAACCAAAACAAAGCACTCTTTTTCATTAAGAAAAGAAAATTGGATTCCAAAACCTTATAGTTTCCTTCGTATTGTCAATGACCAAACAACTAGAAAATCCAATCTTCACACATTAACACTTTAAATTCCCATAAACTCACTTTCTTACAGCAAAACAAATCAATTAACAAGCAAAAGACAAAGAAACGACAGCAGGGTTTGGTACAGCCAGGCTCAAAACACTTTAAATTCCCATAATCTTCAATTTCAGGCTCAACTTACTTAAAAATCCAAACATTAAACATCAACACTTTAAATTCCCATAATCTTCAATTTCCAAATCATTTCTTAGCTACAAACAAACCAATAAAAAATCAAAAGACAAAGAAATGACAACTGGGTTTGATGTAACTAAGCGCAAATTGATTAAAAATCCGAACTTTATAAGTTTGAAACAAAGAAACTTCCATGAAAATAACTTTTCCTTAATTTTTCGGCAACCAAACAGACCTCATACATATAAAAAATTGATCACTTCAAAAATCCAGAAAAGAAAAAAAAAGCTCTCACCAGATCGTGATTGAAGAGCTGATTGGTATCTCTTAGAAGCTGAGGAAAGTCGAGCACTCCATGAATCAGCATCCATAGCTCCTCCCTTTTAAATTTATTTTATTTTATTTAAAACTCCAAAATTCTTCACCGATCCTCACTCGTTGAAAAATCAAAAAAGTGGGTTTTCTTAATCGAACCTTGAAGCTTTGATCTTGAATTTACGCAAATCAATAACCTTGAAATAAGGGGTTGAATCAGAGGAAATGATGATATCTGATAAGGTGAGTTTTTATTTATTTATTTATAAAGGGAGTGAGAGATAATACGAGGACCTATTTTTGTTCGTCGGGAAAAGGGGATATGATGTTTGTTGTGCTGTTGGCTTTATATTATTTTCCTCTCTTTTTTGATAAAATTTATTATTTATGATTTATTTTTCTTTTAATTTTAATTTTAATTTTAGAAAGAGATTTGTTTAGTTGAATAGTCAATTTTTTAAAATAATCATCAGATGTGTTCCAGTTGTCTGATTAAACGAGTGATCGGAAGTGCACCAACCTTCTTTTTTTTTCATGTGTTTTAAAATGGTGTTTAAGTGCACCAACCTTCTTTTTTTTTTTTTCATGTGTTTTAAAATGGTGTTTTAGTTAAAAAATATTAAATTAATGTAATATTTTAGTGATTTAAATATTCCAAAATTAAAAATATTATTTTAATAAATATTATTTAAAAATATCAGTATATTTCAATATCAAACACACGTTAGCTATTTAATTTTATCTAGGAGTTTTTTCTGCACAATTTTTTAATGTATTAAATATGTATTTTTTTATAATAGTTAATGTTTTTTAAAAGTGATTTCACGCATCAAAACTAAATTTATTTTAGCACGAACATACTATATAATTAATTATTGAAATTATATTTTTCCATGTGAATATGGCTTACTTAAAAAAATAATAAGATTAAGTAGATATTGATCTGGAGATTCGAGTTTAAGAAATAAAGAAAAAGAGAAATTAACTATTATACTGACCTTTTATATTTAAATCTAAATTAGTAAATTTATAAAAAAAATATATATTTTTTTAATTTTGCTATATAAAAATAATGTGATAAACAAAATTTAGTAAACAAACTATAGTTATATTCATTGCTATTAATATTATTTCTCTATCTTTTCATGGGAAAAAAGGATGGGAAGATAGTCAATCCCCCTTTTATCTGCCTTTTGCGTTGCTGAGTAGAGATATTAGGGATCTCCATCTGTTGACTGGAACTCCCCTCTCCCCATTCCAATTTCCCTGATAGGAAAAAAGGATGGGAAGAGAGTCAATCTCCCTTTTATCTGCCTTTTGCGTTGCTGAATAGAGATATTAGTGATCTCTATCTGTTGACTGGATCTCCCCTCTCCCCATTCCAATTTCCCTGATGAGACGTGGCTAATGTGGTAATAATTATTTTTTAAAATATTTTTTATTTTAAAATATATTAAAATAATATTTTATTTTTAAAATTTAATTTTAATATTAATACATTAAAAATACTAAAATAATAATTTAAAATAATTTTTAAAAAAAGACACTACATGACCTCATAAACAAATAGGGTAGTATAGTTTTATTATATCCACAACGCATGGTTCACTAGTTTATTTAATTTTAAATATAAAAAAATATTTTCTGTCAATTTTAATTTACCACTTTTTTGTTCGAACGTTCAAGTCGATATCCTATTGATACACGGATAAATATTTTTACTCTTACTGTATTTATAAAAAATTAAAAGACAAAAAATATTTTTTTATTCTTATTTATTTAATTAAATATTAAATAATACCTGTAAATTTAAAAAACCCAACTCTCACACCAGTTTAATACATTTAATAAATTAAATTAATTCTAACATTTGAACTTCAAAAATTAAAAAAAGTATACATTTTTAATCTTCAAATCAATTTTCTAAAATTATATATTAAAAAAGTATTTTTCTTCTCCCATATAAATTCTCAAACGTGTTTCATATATCAAAATTATATATATATATGTATGTATGTATGTATGTATGTATGTATGTATGTATAAGTTTTAAACAAATCATCCATATCCGGGTTGGTATCCGAGACAACACCCAGAAGCTCATGAACCCACTAATTATCGTTCCGGGGCCCCACTTAACAGTCAAGTAAACTTAAAAAAACCGAAAAAACAAAGCGGTCAATCCCTCTACTTGCAATTATTTCTTAATTAACCCTAACCTCCACCACCTCCCAAAACATTTCCAATTTCTCCGGTCACGTGGCGTCCACCATCTCCCCCGATTCCGATCACGTGACCTCCGCAACACCACCAGATTCATCAATCTTCGATTCTTAGGTCAAAGAGAAAGATCAAGTTTCTGTTTTGATAATTTTGTTATGGCAACGAGGAATCGGACGTTGATATTTAGGAAGTACAGAGATGCATTAAAGAGCGTTAGGGTTCCATCGAGCTCATCGCCCTCGACGAGCTCCAGCGGAGGAGGAGGTGGCGGTCCGGTGATCGAATTGGCTACCACCTCGCTTCTAAATCCTAATCGGAAATATACTCCTCTTAGCACTGAAGATCCCGGTAATTCAAGGTACAAAATACACATACACTTTCGTACGTATATTATAGAGATCTGATTGGTGTTTTTGTTGTTAATTAATTAATTGGTTTGGATTTAAGTAAATTTTGGATTTTTCATTTTTATTTTTGATTGTTGATTTATGAGAGGAGTTTAATTAATTAATTAATTATATTTTATTGATTTTAGTAATGTGAAATGCATAATTGAGAGTTCTATCTAAAAAGAGATGAGAAATAAGATATTTTTGTAGTGAGATTTTGTGGAGATTTGTAGTGTGCTTTATTGTTAGATTGAAAGTGGAAAATGCGTGTAAAATTGAAAATTGTTGGTGGGTTTTTAGTTTTTGAAGTGAATGTGAGTGGATTTGGAGGGTTGTGATAGTTCAAAGTGGTGTAGATGGAGTTTATTGTGGGGTTTAGGATCATGGGAGGGTTTCGAAAAGCATTGCGATCAAGAATCATAAAAGTTTACTGCTGTGTATGTGGTTTGGGATTTGTTGGTAGCTGCAGGTGAAGAATGAATGGTGGGTTACCTGTAGTTAGATTGAAATGGATGTAGGAAATGCGCTTTGATGATGAAAGAATGAGATATTTTTCTTGAAGGTAGTGCAAGAGTGTTGTAGAAGAAAGATATAATTGAGACTTGGGAATAATGAATGATCAGGCATATAGGTTTATGATTTTATATGCAGGCATGTGTGAATCCCCATGGTTTTGTCGATATTTCTTATAAAAAGATTTATCAAAGCTGCAAGGAGCAGTGAGATGGTAGCTTTGGGAGGTGATGTATGTGGACATGGGGAGGGCTGTTCTTCAAGCCATGATATTCGAAAGATTCTGATAGATATGAGTATATGTATCAAGTACTGCATAGGTTTCTCTTCTAAATTGTGTGAATCCCCATGGTTTTGTTGATATTTCTTATAAAAAGATTTATCAAAGCTGCAAGGAGCGGTGAGATGGTAGCTTTGGGAGGTGATGTATGTGGACATGGGGAGGGCTGTTCTTCAAGCCATGATATTCGAAAGATTCTGATAGATATGAGTATATGTATCAAGTACTGCATAGGTTTCTCTTCTAAATTCTAGACTCTCATAGCTTTTTGACTAATGTACTATTGCTGTCTTAATGGGCGAGTATTTTCTGTAAACTTTTATGTTAGCCTGGTAGGACTGTTAAAAATTGCTGTCTTGATGCAGTAAAGGTGCACTTACAGTGGGTTTGCCACCAGCTTGGGTGGATGTATCTGAAGAAATATCTTCAAATGTGCAACGTGCACGTACAAAAATGGTTGAGCTAGCTAAGGCTCATGCCAAAGCATTGATGCCTTCATTTGGTGATGGTAAAGAAGATCAACACATGATTGAGGGTCTAACCCAAGAGATAACTGGTCTTATAAGGAAATCAGAGAAGAAACTGCAAAGACTTGCTGCAGCTGGGCCTTCTGAGGATTCAAACATTAGAAAAAATGTGCAGGTAAGCCTTAATTTTTTGCTAGACCAACTACATGTGATCACACAGGTAAATGATGACTTAAAACAAAACACATGAAGTCGGTAATGATTTATCTCTACTTCCATATGATTTTTTTCATAGATGATGTGGCCTAAGCCCAAGAAAAAATAAATTATGAATGAAAAAATTGGGGGAAAGCAATCCAATAATATGCTGATAAAGTAAAGGTGAAATTCTACCTTATTAAATGTTTTGATGATTATGGGCCTTCGTTGTTCCTCTTCTTCCCCTGTTGTTTATCCTTCTAAAAATTATAGTATCTTTTTGTGTGTTTCTTCTGGGCCATGAGCCTATAATTGTTGGGTGAAATGATTGCTCTTTCCAATATACTGGTTGGCTGTGAACTTCGCCATTCCATTGTCTTGTTCTGTGACATTTTATATGCAGTTAAGCACACTTGAGAACTAGTGCATTCTGTACATGTCAGGTTTCTTTTTATGAATTGTGCTAATGTTAGCATATTTTTATTTGCAGCGTTCCCTTGCTACTGACCTCCAGAACCTTTCAATGGAACTTCGCAAGAAACAGTCAACATACTTGAAGCGCCTCAGGCAACAAAAAGAGGTCTGAGAAGTATATCTTTTCTTATAGAACTACTGAATAAGTGAGTAATATATCAAATCATTTTGTTTTGGTATGCAGGGTCAGGACGGGGTTGATTTAGAAATGAACCTAAATGGCAGTAGATCTGTTATAGATGATGACAATTTGGATGACATGGTATGCGCTTGTCTTAAACCTTCTCTGCCTTGGGTTTATTGTTGGATATGACTAGTCTTGAATTTTTCGGTCCTGCTTAACAAGTTGATATGGGCATGTATTGATGTCAATTATACATAGGTGATATTCAGGTGCACAAAGATCCAGGAGATTAAATAGTTGTGCTTCACACTTGTTTAATATAGTAAACCCTTGTCCTTGTCTTCACTTGTGAACATAGGCTTAAGGCTGAAACACATGAAGTGTCGGCGCTTACTTATTCTTCTCTTTCCTTGATTCTTTTTGGTTGTTTTGTGCCCCAAAGCTGTAGTTTAAATTTTATTTTCGTCATTAAAACTATCAATTATGTCTAGAAACATTATCTAAATAGTTTTGTGAGATACATTTCATTTTCACAGTCAAGATTCTTGCACAATTTCTTCACCTTGGTTGAGTACTAAGAATATTATATATGAATGTTATATTAGGTTTTTAATGAGCATCAGATGGCCAAGCTGAAAAGGAGTGAAGCATTCACTGTAGA